GAGCGCACGCCACGGGCGTCCATCACCGTCGTCAGTCTGTTTAAAGCCAGCCTGACGTTCACTATCACGCTCTGGTGCTGCCTGGAGAAACACGTCTCCGCCTCCACGGCCGACACAGGAAGTGATGTCATCATGGTCAACATCAGCAGAGCGGTGAGGAGCAGCCGGGGCGTCCACGAGTGCGAACAGGAAGCTGGAGGAGACATGTCTGCTTGCAGGCGTTCAGTCCGTGATCGGGATCAGCTCAGAGTCCAACGCAGGAGGGCAGAGATCCACACAAATACACTGCAACACAAAACACACACAGAAGACACACACACAACGTCACATCGAGTTACTGAGACAACAAAATGAAACATCCTGAAAACTGAAGAAAAGAAATGTGATGACTCCTGAGATTTTTGTGTGTGATGTTTAAAACTGTTTTTATCTACATCGTGTCCTAACAGCACATTAGATATCACTTCACAGCATCAGATTATTTAAAAAAATGCCAAATATAGAAGAGATGGAAAACATTCATCAAGTGTAGTTACAGAAAAGTGTGCATGATATTTTAGAATCTGTACATGATGTTCTTGATGGACGGTTGGTGTGATGGCTACGTCCCTCCTGTTGATTCATTACAGACAAACAACAACTTAATGAGAGCGATCACAACACAGTTCAAGGAAGAGGCACAGAATGGAAACTCAGCGGGATTGAAAAATGATTTTAAGACAAAGTCAGTCAACGTTTAAATCTGTGTCATTATGTAACAACAGATCAGGAGACGTTCAGGAGGAACGTTTCAGGTCAACTCAAACTGCAGATCCTTTAATTCAACTTGAGTTTTTTGAAGTTTTAAAAACAGACATCATTATGACAAAGATTTTTTTAGGACTTTCTGATTCTTCAGACTTTGATCAGAGCATCTCAGTGACAGCATGGACATTTTTTTTTTTCCCTTAAACTTCCTGTTCCTGTCGTCTCTGAGCCCCAGATCTGTCTCGACTCGTAAAGACAACAAAAAGAACCAAATTAGAAACTAAATCCGAGGGAGAAAATAGAAATCTAAAAATGGAAACCTCTCCTTAAAGAGGCGGCCTCGTCGCTGCCATTTTTAGATTTTCTGCTCAAAGTGAACGAGGTCACTCTGGATTATAATGACGGACACTTTGATGAGTCTGCACATTTCAGATTAAGTCTTTAAGAGTGTATTTAGAGGAGAAACTCACCAGGGCGACGGTGTGAACAGTCCTCCATCAGATGCTCGGTGGGTCTCTGGGTCCACAGTCCACCCTGCAGGACTTTAACCCGTCTCCTGAACGGGACAGAAAGAATTAGTTCACTTTATCTGGTTTACAGCTGCAGCTATCTGACCCACAATCAGCACGCTCTCGTCTGAGGCGTTTAACTGTTGCAAAACAAGTTGAATATGAGTAACATTAAGTGTTACGAGCTTCATGTGAGCAGATGTATCAGTGTCAACATGTTAAATATCTTGGTGTGTAGATCGACTCTGAGCTAACCTTTAAACAAACATTGATCATGGATCAAAAAAGTAAATTTCAGTGCTGCTGCTTGATATCATGTCAGACATTGTTTCACATTGAATGTTAAAAAGAAAATTGTCTCACGAGTTATATTACCAATAATAAACCATGACCAAGAGACAAACAGAAAAGAAAAAGAGGAGACGTAACAAGACACCAATTTACTGGATGACCGAAAAATAAAAGATGAAGAATGGGAAAGATAATATTCAAAAAAACCTCGTTCAGGTGTTTAACAGAGTTGTCACATGGGTGATATGGACCCAAAACTCATATCTTGATATTGATTAGCTGAATGGCGGTACTCGATATATATCGATATGTATTTTATTAACAGTGAAAACACATGGAAAATAAAATACCTGTGAATTTAAAAACTAATATTATAAAATAAAAATGTTCCTTAAATACAATAAAAGAGAGAGAGAGGAGGAGCAGACAGTCAGTCATCATCAGTGAGATGAGAAGGTGACCTGGCACCTCTGTAACATTATTTTAATGCAACTTAAACTATATCCATATTAACGATGTTGTCTTACTCTATATCTTGTTTGAAAATATATCGATATATCTTAAAAACTCGATATACTGCCCAGCCCTATTGTCACAATGCTAAAACCATGATTCGAGTAAATTCAGACAATATTACTGCCTGTTGTATACTGTAGTTGACCTTTTGAAATACACAGCAAAATTAATCTGTATTTTTTAAATATTTATTTTATTTTTAGGTTTAACTAATGTACATGAAAACATTATGTAAATAATTAACATAAATATCCGTTTTTTTTTTATGTTGTGATTAGTTTTTCCTTTTTCCTTTTATTATTATTTTTATTATTAATTCGAGTATTGCTGTTGAATTTTGAGCTGTTGAATGATAATAATAATGATTATTTTATTTAATCTTATTTTACCAAGTGACTAAAATAAATGTTTTAGTGTTACAGTCCTCCCCGGTCTCCGTACATCCAGTCTGAAGATGTTTCTATCTGAAGACCATTTTCTTTTGTAAATAATCTAATAGTGACATAAATACAGATTAAATCTCCTAACAGAAATAAAATGTGTTTTTTTTAGTGAAACCGTTTTCCTTCTACCACCTGCTGTAGGCTACTAATACGTCTGTACTGGTTTTAATGGTGCTGATGTTACCGGGTAACTGGGACATAATGTAACACGGTGTAATGTAGGTGTTGGTACCTTTATTCTCCCCCGAGGACAAAGATTAACTCTGCCCGGCGTCCATCACCCTCCGTCGGTCGGTCAACAGCCTGATGAGTCGGTGTTTGGAGCCCTGCACCAGCAGCAGCAGGAGGAGGAGGAGAGATCCCAGTTAAACCAGTTCAGTCCCAGTATGCTGCTTCACCCATCCCGAGAGGACATGTTGATTTAAAAAAAAAAAAGAAATTAAACCGTTTTTCTGCGTTAAATGTCCGTTAATACGTCATCGCCGACCGTTAAATGTGGAAGGAAAGATGGTGCGTTCAGGCGACATGTTGGAGCGGGTTTTAAAACGTCGTTAGCGTCTTGTTTCCGTCTCCAGCTCGATGAACTACATTACATGATGGCTGGTTTCTCTCCGGAGTCTGACCCATTTTAGTCTTTGTCCTCTGGAAGGGGGGAGGGATGGAGCCTGCGTCCCAAAAAACACCCGCAAACACACGGATTTCAAAATCAACACCAACAGGCTACAGGAAATATCACATTTAAAGTCCGATAAAATAATAAAATAAACCGTTTTTTAAATCTTAGAATTTAAAGACGAAAAATCCGTATTTATAAAAGCAGTTTACAGGCAGCAGCTTCATCAATAATTTAAGAAGCTTAACATGAACAATACATTTGAAATAACAGCATTTAAACACTATAAACAGTCACATTTTAAATATGTTAGTTTAATTTATAACTCATTAAAGTATGGAAGGTCAATACTGCCAAGAAATAAACATTTGCGGTAAAAATGATCAGACGCTAAGTAGAAGTCTTTACATTTGCAAACTAGGGGAAAAGGAACAATTAGTCACCTTTCTTAACAATCAAGGGCTGTTCATAAAAAAAAAAAACACTTTTAAAAAAAAAAAATCACTGCCTTTGCTTTATTTTTTTAGAGAAATCTCTTTGTTTATAAAAGCAGTTTACAGGCAGCAGCTTTATCAATAACGAAATAGGCTGAACATGAACAATACATTTAAAATAACAGCATTTAAACACCTCAACAGTCACATTTTAAATATCAGTTAGCTTAATTTATAACTCATATTAAAAGTATGGAAGGTCAATACTGCCAAGAAATAAACATTTGCGTAAAAAATTATCAGACGCTAAGTAGAAGTCTTTACTTTTGCAAACTAAGAGAAAAAGGAACAATTAGTCTCCTTTCTAAATACATTTTTTTGAACCTCAATCAAGGGCTGTTCATAAAAAAATGTTTTGTTCTTTTTAAATCACTGCCTTTGCTTTATTTTTTTAGAGAAATCTCTTCGTTTATATAAGCAGTTTACAGGCAGCAGCTTCATCAATAATTTAACGAGCTTAACATGAACAATACATTTGAAATAACAGCATTTAAACACCATAAACAGTCACATTTTAAATATCAGTTAGCTTAATTTATAACTCATATTAAAAGTATGGAAGGTCAATGCTGCCAAGAAATAAACATTTGCCTAAAAAATTATCAGACGCTAAGTAGAAGTCTTTACTTTTGCAAACTAAGAGAAAAAGGAACAATTAGTCACCATTTTTTAACCTCAATCAAGGGCTGTTCATAAAAAAACGTTTTGTATTTTTAAATCACTGCCTTTGCTGAAATTTTTTTTTTAGAAATCTCTTTGTTTATAAAAGCAGTTTACAGCAGCAGCTTCATCAATAACTCAAGAGGCTGAACATGAACAATACATTGAAATAAATACATTTAAACAGCATAAACAGACACTTTTAGACCCATAAATATCACAGGTAGTTTAGTTTATAACTCTATGTAGGCCTGTTAAATGTACGGAAGACAAATGTTGGCAAGAAAAATAAATAAAATGTTTGCGTTAAAATTATTACATATTAAAGCCCCTGGGGACATGTCTTGAAATATTTAAACTCGGCATGTGATATCAACATGTAATGTTTTATTCTGAGTATAAAATAAACATTCATAACTCAGCCAATGAAAACCTAAAAATGGAAAATGTAAAAATGTTGCAGTCAGACAGTGTGGGCGTGTCAGCTCACACGTCAATCAAAATGAGCCCCCATTCAATGTGCTAAAAGCATCCTGGGATACCTAGCTATGCTAACGGGGCTTGCTTCACCACTTATTTTTCTTTTCTTAAGGAAATGTTGGGAAGAGAGGGGGATGGCAAGCAGCAAACGGCCGAGGTCAGATATGAACCCACGGTCTACAGTCTTGGTACAATGTGTCCTGAATTTCTAAACATGCAATTGGAAGGAAAAAGAAACATCAGGATGTTCAGAATTAGACTTATTTTTTTATTAACTATGGTACAGTCAGAGTGTTACAGTCACACTTAGTCATGGTATGTCTTCATTTGTATTTTTTTTTTACAACACAACAGGAACTACGTCTCAACTATGAGCTACGTTTAAACTAATCTGACTGTCTCAAACTTCTGAGTCCATGTTTGGATCAGCTCACGTTGACTTGATGAATAAATGATTTAATTTGTGGAACCTAACTTGTGAACTTCCCTGATGGTGAATGTTTTTCTCTTCTTCTTGTGTCTGAATCTTCCTTCAGACGTCCCTCCGATCAAACTTCAGAGAAACCGGTCGTTCGATATTTTCATTTTTGAGTTCAAACATGAATCTGAGTCCTGTTTTAAGCCGTCGTCTCGTCACTCCATCTCTTCCATCTCTACGTCCGCCTGCGCTCCAGCTGTACCCGCCTTCTTCTTCTTCTTCTTCTTCTTGTTTTTCTTTGTTGTGGATGGAGCAGACGATGTCTCCTGTTTCTTCTTCTGTGGTGCTGCTGCTGCTGGTAGAGCTTCAACTGAGGACAAAGATGACAACATTTTATGGTGTCCGATACTTTGGTTGAATTTCAAAGACATTCCCGTCTTACACATACCACCAACAACAACACCACCACCACCACCAACACCACCAACAACAACAACAACACCACCACCACCACCACCAACAACAACAACACCACCACCACCACCACCACCAACAACAACAACAACACCACCAACACCACCACCACCACCAACACCACCAACAACAACAACAACACCACCACCACCACCACCAACAACAACAACAACACCAACACCACCACCACCACCAACACCACCACCAACAACAACACCACCAACACACCACCACCACCACCACCACCACCACCACCACCACCAACAACTTTATTAGTTACGATCAGAACTGAAAAAAAGTCGATGGACTACAAACGGAAACAAGAACCCGTCCATGCTGAAAGTCCAGACGCCCGTCTACAGATTCTACATTTGAATGTTGTTTTTAAACACTTGTTGAGCTTCACTGTGACTCACTGTCATCATACACATGTTAGCATGTTAGCATGTAGCTCACAGCTCAGGTGCAGATCTGCTTCACGCCGCTGCCGGTCGATCGTGAAGCCTCGAGCATCAAGTTCAGTGACTTTAATCGATAAACGTGGTGTGACCTCTGGTGTCAAAGAGCTTTTCAAAGCATCAACATAAAGAAGGATTTGAGCTGCTCCAACACGTGAACAGTGTCATGTTCTCACCGTCCATCCCGGCCTTCTCCTGCTGCATGTGCTGCAGCTGCTTGATCAGCTTCCTCCTCTTCTTCCCCGACAGAGTGATGTTCGCCCGCGCGCTCGAGCTGAAACAGAAAACAAAAACACAGTCGCTGAGAAACACGATGGAAAGAAGCTCTGAAATATCTAAACTACGATCGTCTTGGAGCCGGTTGAACTCCTGAACGTTTCTTCTGGGTCGTGTTTCTGTGTTTGTGCAGTTCTCCGCAGATTACTGACACTAAGTGGTTTTAACTGTAAAGTCGTATTCGTCAGATGACTGACCTCCTCTTCTTCAGGTGATGGACGGTGATGAGACCCTGATCGACCACCGCTCCCGTGATCAGATGTCTCTTCCGCTTCTCTCTGCTCAAAACTCGCCGCCGCTTGAACAGATTCCTCCCGAGCTCCTGACAGACGACGACATGGGAAACAGTTAAAAGACGACGTGTTCATCTCCTCTTCGATGTAATGAGTCACAGCTTAACCCAGACTCAGTCAATGTGAACCAAATGTACCTTCAGGTACCTGAAGTCACCTTTCCTCACGACTACTTCCTGTTTACACCAAATGTTGCCTCTGTTGTTTTGTAATTCAGACAGTGTGCAGGTTTTTTTTTGCCCTTTCTGGCAGACTCATTCCTCTCCTAAGCATCTTTTTTTTAAAATAAAATACCTGTTTTACTTTTTGACACGACTGATCATTAGAAAAACATCCGGTATCGAACCTTTTGACCCTCCAAGTACCTTTACTGTGAGACTTTAACCTGCAGAAGCTTATTCAACGTGTTTATTTATATAAATGACTTTTAAAAAGCAGATAAAGTTGGTTTCTAATGACCAGAAGAAGAAATAAAACTAAAAGTGGCTAACAAAGCAGCAAACAGTGTTTACGTTAGCTTCCTATGCTAGCTGTTAGCCGTCTCTAAGACACCGGACGTCATTAAATAAACATGACGTAAGTTCTCCTGTCTTTTCTAATCCACGGTGTTAATATAAATGTGATTTTCTTACAGTTTTGGGTCTGTTTATCTTCCCTCCCGGTGGAGACATGCTGCTTTTCTTTCTCACGTGGTCTTCTTCTTCTACTGTTCAGATTCCGGCTGTCTTCAGCAGCAGCTGCTCTCTACTGCCCCTCACAGTTCTGTCCACATATTACAATGACAGTGATGTCTAATGAGGGAAAAAAAGGTATTTACATACTTAGAATTTATAGCTTTAGGAATATAGAGATGCTCTGCCTTAGTTTTATTTATATTTTGTTATAATTTCTTTGTAAAAAAATTAAGACCTTTATAACTTTACACATATTTATTTCTGTTTTTGTCTGTTTGATGATTTCCTTCGCAGTGTAGACACATTGCTTGTTCATTCTCTATGTAAAAGTCATTATGACATTACTAGTTTCCCCCCACATTTTTCACATCTTTTGACTCTTCAGTACTCAGCAGCAACATGAAAAAAGGCCCAACCTGCAAATGCTGACATCTAATGGCCACATGTGAGTACTGCAACATGTTCCTGTTACACTACTTGCATACGACATTCTGACGGTTGTACCTAATTCATAGTTTGTATGCTTCTGGTTGCATTAGTATTAATAGGTATTTCCTTTTTTCACCATTAAGTCATTTGGCTCTTACACACAGATATTCAGGTGACGTCTCGGACTCAGTATCAGCTGCTGATGTTTCTCCCGCTGCTCTCAGAGGGGATATCGATGACTTTTGACTCGTATTTTCAAACTGTGCGATCGGACCTGAACAGATTATATCATGAAAGCGACAGTGTGTCCGTGTGTGGACATCTGGAGCGCTTCAGATTCAGTCATAACAATAAAAGGGTTGGACGGAGTAACGGATCAGTTTCCTCCCGGCAGATTAAAATCATCTGGACCGAGTGAGCGAGACTCTGATCCTGCAAAACCTTCCACGACGGCGTTAATGATGTCTGACACAACATGAAGGCAGCTCCTCTGAGAATCTGAGGTTTAGTTTCGGGCGGGATGTTTGGAGATTATAAAAAATAAAAAAACTCTTTTATTGGAACAAATTCAACCTTTTCTTTGACTGAACTCCAGACTGGAAATCAGGACAAATGTTTCTGTGTCATCTGATTGAAAGACGACTCTCTGCTGGAAGATCTGCCGCCAAATATTTATTTTTTGTTTTTGGGGCTTTTTATGCTTTCAAGTCCTGCAGTGAGTGTGTGGTTCTTCTGCCGATTAATTAAACTTGAGTCTGAACAAAAAAAGAGCAATTAATTTAAACCCCAGAAGGAACAGAAACAAAGTTTTTTATCTGGAGGCAGGTAGGCCTTTCAAACAGAATACTCCGAGTCGTCTCGGTTTCTCGCTCTGACTTCCTGACCTCCTTTAGTTTTTCTTGGGTGTTGAAGATTTGTCGCTGCGCTGCTCCTCTCTTTCTGCTCGATGTCTCTCAGCTCTCCACCTGAATCCAAACCAAACTCGGTCGTGTCGTGAAGCTGTGGCGGCGGGAATTATTTTAACGACTCGAGACCAGAAGCCAAATCCCTCCGGCCTCTTTCTGCAGCCCTGGAGCTCTTGATCGTCCCTAATTGAAACCTGGATGGAATTTATGATGAGGGTCTGCAATTTGTTGACACTTCTGCTCCATTGAGTGGAAAGTTGTAATTTTTCCCTCCTGCTGTTCGTGCAGACGTTTCTAAAAAAAGCTGCTAAAACTGAGAGAGATGGTTTCCTGCTGAGCTGATGATGGCGATCAGAGTTTAACTGGACAGAGTAAAGAAGTGATGACAAGACGTACAGCAGAAGAAGAAAGCGTTGGTGGGCTGAGAGGCCTTTTAAAAACATTTATTCTACCAGGAAATGCCAAAAAGGCCGACTCCCTGCTTCATGTGTTCTGATGTTTCGCAGCTGCACAAAAAATCAAAGTTCATCACTGCAGAACTTGCATTAAAATAATCTAATTTTTAAATTCCCTTTAGGACCAGAGAAATCCAGTGGAAACTTTTGGAGCAATAAAATGTACATTTAGGCTTTTACGATAATCGAAATGTAACCTTTAATACAATTCTCATAAAAATCAAACAATATTGATATTAATTGCAAAAATTAATTAGCAATGTTTCTTAAATTCATGCAGTAAATCCAGGGTTTTACGTATGTACTCCTTGAATGTCGTTTTCACTGTTTTGTGAATTATACTTTGCACTTTCTGGGGCGGCTGTGGCTCAGTTGGTAGAGTCGGTCGTCTCTCCTGGATGATTGGGGGTTCGATCCCCAGCTCCTCCAGCGACACATCCGATGTGTCCTTGGGCAGGATACTTAACCCTGAAAAGTCCATTTACCATTTTAACTGGATAACTTGACATAAACATTATTCAGTGTGGGTAGGTCATCCATGCTCTACTGTAGATATGTTTTTGTGCATAAAACCCCCCCTCAGTCTTACAAACAACATGTTCTAAATGTCTAATAAGGGCATTAAAGTGGGATTAAGGACTCAGCACACTGTTGCAATCATGACGTTAATAAAAGCTGCTGACTGATGAGTTTCAAACTGTGTTGGAAACATTTTTCTGTCCAGATTTTTCTTCATCTTTACTGGAAACTTTGGGAAGATTGTTTTTTCTGTTTCTGACGCTCCATGAGTCAGAGAGATGAACCCAAACAGACTCCCAGGGAGAGTTTGATGTGAAGAACGAGGCTGCGTCAGTGTTAAGAGCCACAGAAGAACAGTTACATATATTTAAATATAAATGCACTGGTTTCTAATGCATTTGTTTCTTTATGTGCTTTTGGAGGAGTTAATGTAACTACTCTTATTTAAAGCCTGTTTTTAGTGTTTAAAACTTATTTTGTAACCTACAGCAAAACACCCTCAACATTAAATAAATAAATAATTGAACTTCTATGAACACTTAAGTTATTGTTTTGAGGTTATATATGACAAGTGTGAGATGTTTTTAATTTTAAGTGAGATGTGAAACCAAAATAAAAACTGCCGATGTAACACAAACAAGACAAACGGAAGAGGACCCAGGACACGACAATAAGTTTAGACTCAAAGCTTGAAATAAAGTTGAAACAAATTATTTTATTATAAAGTAAGGCTCAAGTGTATTTTTTGGTTAAAATTCTATTTTTTTTGTTTATTAAAGATATTTATATATAAACACTTTAAGAATGTCCTATAGTTTTCTTTAAAACAAAACTTCAAATTACAGTTTTATACAGTATACAGTTATACAGTTTTTCATAAAGGATTTGAGGTTTCCAGCAGCTGAATGGAGATCAGAGGGAAATAGTCTGGCATTCATTTTTAGACGTTATGTTTTAACCTATACTTGAATTATACCTGAATCTTTAGAGGACCGGGGATAGAGCCTTGAGGAACTCCACCAAGGCATGTTGTGGTTTCTTTATTCAATATAATATCATGAAAACATGCATTATTATCAATAAAAGGGCAAAGAGACTTCAAAAACACAAGAGACTGCAAGGATGATACTGTCAAATGTTTAATCTGTTCAGTACACGGTGTTTATATCAGTGCAAGTGCCAATGAAACAACAATATCGAGCCGTGTTTGGTGTATGTACACAGATGAACTTTGGCGTTGAGAAGCAGAGCGGGTGGAGGAGGAAACACTGAAGGCGGCAGGAGGGTCGAACACAAACGTGAGACAACAAACAGCTTCCATCAGAAACAAAAACAGCAGCGAAGAAACAAAAAAAAAAACAGGACGTGTGGAGAGCCAAAGGTCAAAAATCAAAGAGAAAAATCACACAAGAGTGACGACCGTCGTTTTTTCTTCATTTCAATAAACCACATCAACGAGTCATGGAACAAAATTAATGGTATATATTTATATTTATATATCTAAAGTGCAATATGGTACAAAAATATAGAAGGTCAGCAGCACCTCGATACATTTACAAAATAAATACACCATTCAGACAAAATAAATTACTGCAAAAAAATCTGACATAATTGGAATAAAAAAAGAAAAAAAGCAAGGATTCACAAAGATTAAAATCTGTCGCCTCACACAGCATCAAATAAGATCTTTTAATCATATTCTGCTATTTCTGCTATATTTAGAATATTTACAAACAATAAATATTTTCCAAATTCTTTCCAAACAATCACTTTTACAGAAATCTGCAATGTGAGAGTTTAGGAGTCCACTGCGACTGTCCGAACATTTCTGAAACACAAAGAGAGAAAAACATGACAGGTCAGTGATTTGTATTCATGTTTGGGTTCAGAGAGTAAAACATTTTTCGATTCTTTGACACTTTTAAAACCACTTTGACACTTTTCTGATCCAAAAACATAACTGAACATTATTACAGAAAATGCTGTGACATGTATCTGAACTGTGAACTCACCTTTGTCAGAGACTGACAACGTTTTTTAAAGTAGCGCCCTCTGCAGGCCGAGCAGAGACCTCCACTCCAGGTGGAGTCCACTTCCTTGTTCGTCTTCCGGCCTCCACCCGAGCGAGCGCGCCCTCCTCTTCCTCTTCTCCCCCTCCCTCCTCTTCCCGGACCTCCCTTTCTTCTTCTTCTTCCCGGACGCCTTCAGCACGCCGTCTTTGTATGTCTGAGACTTGTTGGTCTCCTGCGGCAGGTTGGTGCCCTCCTCCTCCTCCAGTTTGAAGCTGATGGGCAGGTTCTTGGTTCCTCCGGGGGGTTTGGAGTGCAGGGTGCTGCCGGTGGTGCTCAAGTGTATTCCCAGGCCGACCCCGGACAGCCCGACCCCGCTGCTGCTCCCGCCTCCCGCAGTCGTCCGGGCTGAGAGTTCTCTGATCTCGGCCGTGTGGACTTCGTCTAAAAGCTCCTGCAGCCACATCCTCCGCTTCAAGTCCTGCATCACCCGGCCTTTATCGTGCATCAGCTGAGCGTGAGTCACCGACCGCTTTCTGCAAAACATCACACAGAAGATTTGTTTATGTTAGACTTCTCTTTTAAATCCCTGCACCTAAACTGTAAAGCACACTTTCTAACTCTTTGAGGGAGAGTTCACTCTGTTGGCCAGCAGGGGGCAGCAGCCACAGTGAAGGGAAAGCTTGAAATGCATCAGCAGATTTCCAATAATCCCTGATTGCATCAGTGAATAAATCGTCATGATTCATCAAACCGCAGGAGCTGAACTGTTTCCAGGGTTGTTAAAACTGATCTCCACCCGGCTCCAGGAGGTCCACACCACCTCCGCCAGTTTTCCTTTTCGATTAATCACTGATACGATCGTGGCACAGAGTCTTTGGCTTTTCACTTTTCATTAAAATAAACGTAAACTGACAGAATCGTGGCACTCGGACCCTCCAGGGATGAAAAACTGGAGCCGAAAAAAAAAAAAAAGAGAAACTCCAAAAAAGAGAAACTATGAAAAGGCTTCGTTCTGAACTCTGGCTGCACCGAGCTTTTAGAGATTATGTAAATCCTATCAGGTGATTTCTGGGATCTAAAGATGAATATTGATTGATGTGATCATGTTTAACTCGTCGTGATGCTGCAGCGCTTCATGCTGCTCAAACATCATCACTCAGATTTGATTTGTGTAAATTCAGGAACGACGAGACTCGATGAAACCATCAAGAAAGAATCTTTTAAAAACAACTTTTCGATCACATCTTTGTTCTCATGAATAACAAACACAAATCATGATGAATAAACAATAAGAGACTTTGAATCTGCGTCTCAAACACGCTTATAAACTCTCTCCTCGGCCTCATTCTCACTCCAAACACCTTCAACATAAGAAGCAGTTTAAAGACGTCACGCCTTTGTTACTTCATCGCCTCCCACGAGCCGAGCGCCGTCAGGTATTTCAGGTTTAAAGTTAGCTCTGGTTATGTGTTCACGGTGACCTTTGACCTGTGTGAGAGTAAATAATGAAAAAAAAGGATAGGCAGGCCCCAGCGAGATTTGAACTCGCGACCCCTGGTTTACAAGACCAGTGCTCTAACCCCTGAGCTATGGAGCCCTGCATGCACAGCTGTCAGGGCCACGCCTTTATAAACGCCACTGCCTGCTGACGGACAGCTGACGGCCTGCATGAGAACAGAGAGCGGGTAAAGGGGGGTGAAGAAGTTCGATTTGAGAAGCCAAAGAGGAAACATCCACATCGTGACATCTGCAGACTTCACCAAACTTCAACGACATTTTCTCCATTTATGAGACATCATGTTTGAATGAACGTCTCATCTAGAGGTTAAAGGTTAAACGTTTCCCTCCTCACTGTGAGACGGTTAAAGATGATCATTTATGACTTTAAATAAAAAAACACTGGAGGCTTCAGTAAGATTTGAACTCACAACCTCTGCTTCAAACTAACTCTCTTGCTCTGTGTGGCATCCTGCCATAAAGCCGCCACAAGGGGGAGCCGTTTGCACAGGCAGCAGGAGGAAACACCCCCGGACGGACTTGGACGAACGTCAACAACAAACTCTGCATTTTTTTTTTTTTTTTTAAAAGGCGTCAGATTGAAACTGGTTCAACATTTTTCTGCAGCTCAAATGTTCACGTCAGAGTTTTTTTTCTTTTCAAACTGAGTTGATTTGTTTGATCAGAAACATCTGAAAAACATCTGCAGCTCTGTGCAGGATTTGAACTCACAACCTCTGGATTAAGAGACGGAAACTCAGAGGAGACAAAAGACCTCTTAGACTCTTTCCTTATAACTCACAGTAGACATGTGCATGTGTTAAAGATGAAACACTGGGGCGTAGATGGCCTAGTGGTCAGGTCACACTCCATTTAGGAGGCTATAGTCCTCAAAGCAGATGGCCCAGGTGCAAATCCGGCCTTATGTCATTCTGTCTCTTACACATTTTCTCTGCTGCAACCTCTCATGCACAAAACCAGAACTCAAACTTCTGCACTGACACCGTGAGGACACAGAAAACGCAGAAATCTTCATTTTTAAGATGTCAAATGAGTTCTTAATTTAAAATGTTGTTGACGTCCTTTTTGCAGGTGAAATGTTCTCTGGATGTTTGCACGAGTTGTGTTGAAGACTTTGCAGGAAACCAAGCGGAAGTGCAGGGTTTGAATATTTAACACCTCTGATCTGATATCCTGATCGACCACAAGGGGGTGCTATACTCACAGATATCCAGAGGTTAACGTGCAGCACCTGGCTGAACTTCAACCAAACTTCATTTAAATCTTTTGTTTTCGGAACGTCATGATTTCTCTGCAGAAATGTTTTGAACACATAATCCAGAAACCTGAGAACACGCTGCTGCGTCTTTAAAAATATAAAGTTTAGTTAAACGTGATGCTCTGATTCTGAACAGATGGGACGAGCTGTTGTCTTTGCAGGTAGAGTCGGATCGGGGGGCTTTGCTTTGCCGCGGTGTCTCGTTACTCAGAGTCTTAACTCTAACACAAACAGAACGCCGCGGCGCTCAGCTCCGAGGCCTGGGAACCTCCGAGCGCCAACGGCGCACAAACACTTGAGGTGTCTGAGCACACAAACACACCGCCTTCAATGGGAGATACCGGCGGCTGATTACAGCTCAGCACCACCGCCCCCGTCACAGCCCGTCAGGGGGTTTCCCATCATGCACTGCTCCTCCTCCCTGTGCAGGGCTCAGCGTGTTGTGGAGGAACGCTGCATCCATACAAACAGAAGAGGAGTTTTCTCATTCAGCTCCACGTCGAGGTAAAGTGAGTTTTTATTCTTCTGCTGAATAATAAAAAATATCCTGAGAACCGTTTATACACGTTTATATACTTCCTGTTAGAAGACACAAACTCCCTGAGTGTCTGAAAAGTGATCCGACGGAGGAGGAGGAAGAGGAGGAGGAGGAGGAAGAGGAGGAGGAAGAGGAGGAGGAAGAGGAGGAGGAGGAAGGAGGAGAGGAAGGAGGAAGAGGAGGAGGAGGAGGAAGAAGAGGAGAAGGAGGAGGAAGAGGAGGAGGAGGAAGAGGAAGAGGAGAGAGGAGGAGGAGAGGAAGGAGGAGAGGAAGGAGGAAGAGGAGGAGGAGGAAGAGGAGGAGGAGGAAGAGGAGGAGGAAGAGGAGGAGGAGGAGAGAGGAGGAGGAGAGGAAGGAGGAGAGGAAGGAGGAAGAGGAGGAGGAGGAGGAAGAAGAGGAGAAGGAGGAGGAGGAAGAGGAGGAGGAGGAGGAAGGAGGAAGAGGAGGAGAGAGGAGAAGGGAGGAGGAGGAGAGGAAGGAGGAAGAGGAGGAGGAGGAAGAGGAAGAGGAGAGGAAGGAGAAGGAGGAGGAGGAAGAGGAGGAGGAGGAAGAAGAGGAGGAGGAAGAAGAGGAGGAGGAGGAGGAGGAAGGAGGAGAGGAAGGAGGAAGAGGAGGAGGAGGAAGAAGAGGAGGAGGAAGAAGAGGAGGAGGAGGAGGAGGAAGGAGGAGAGGAAGGAGGAAGAGGAGGAGGAGGAAGGAGGAGGAAGAGGAGGAGGAGGAGGAAGGAGGAGGAAGAGGAGGAGGAGGAGGAGAGGAAGGAGGAGAGGAAGGAGGAGGAGAGAGGAGGAGAGAGGAGGAGAGGAAGGAGGAGAGGAAGGAGGAGGAAGAGAAGGAGGAGGACAGAGGAGAGAGGAGGAGGAAGGAGGAGGAAGAGGAGGAGGAGGACAGAGGAGGAGGAGGAGGAGGAAGGAGGAGAGAGGAGGAGGAGGAGGAGAGAGGAGGAGAGAGGAGGAGGAGGAGGAGGAGGAGAAGGAGGAGGAAGAGGAGGAGGAGGAGGACGATGAAGAGGCCCTGAAACATCTTGAGATGGTGAAGCTCAGTTTCCTGTTTGTGTCCTTTCACGACAGACAGAATTGACGCATTACAAATAAAGATTGATTGACTGATTGATTGATTGATTGATTGATTGATTGATTGATTGATTGATTGATTGATTGATTGATTGATTGATTGATTGACTGATTGATTGATTGATTGATTGATTGATTGACAGCTCTGTGTTCTGTAACGAGCTGCTTCAGATTCTGGACGTTCAGAACGACAGAATCACTTCCTGTTCGTCCAGGTTGATTTTCTAAATTTTTGTTTTAAGATGAAACGCTGAAACTTCTGAACTGCCGAGGCTTCAGAAAACATTCAAAATCAACATTTGAGAATTTATAAAAATCACACAGAGCAGGAAACTGGACATTACTGCAGCTCCTACAAAATAAAAGAGGAGACAGAGAAGAACCAAACACCGGCTTGGTCTTTCTTTGATTTGGAAAACTCTCTGGACAAACTTCTCTGACGTTTAGTTTTTAAAACAAGGATTTAGTTCATTTAGACAAAAGGTTTCCAAACAGCTCATCAAGTAACCTTCACAGTAACCTCGACCACGAGGAGAAGTGTCCACATGGTTTATTTAGATTTCTAAAACATCAAAAATATTTAATTTAAGGTCATAAAAGATCAAGAACTGCAGCAAGATTATTTTCCTTCCACTGACAGCTGCTCCTGTTTGAGGCCTAAAAACCATTTAGATGATTCAAAGCTCCAACTCAAAAACGTGCGGACCACCTTGACAACTTCTCGAGAAGATTTTTATAACCTGTCGTTTAACACAGCCTCTGATGAAGAGCGGTCAGGCGTGTGATTCTGAAGCTCACACTTCTCATTTCCCCTCAGGTGGAGTTAACCCCGTCCTGAAATGGGATGAATCACACATCAGCAAACGGCTGCCGCTCTGTTTCCCCCCCGACACCGACGAGGACTTTAAGGTAAACCTGCACGACGACGACGACGACGACGACAAAGTTTGAATCACTTTAAAGACTTTTAACTGCAGACTTCAAAATAAATGCATTTCAGATGTGACCTGGAAACTTCTCTCCCTGAGAGCATCTTCCCACTGAGTCATTAAAAACTGATCACATCTCAGCGTCTCTCCAGGAAGTGTTGAACTCTCTCTTAAAGGAACATTTATCCCGTTTGGCATCGGGCGCCTCGGCAGGAGCAGCAGGTTTGGTTTGGTGCCGAGCCGAGGCTGAGCATCAGCATTATTCATTTCCCTCCGGAGTCCAAACACAGAGAGACGGAGAGGGCGTTAGAAAGTCTGACGGGGCCCTGAACGCGTCTGATGGGAGCGAGAGAGTTTGAGTTTATCACAGCGAGACGCTTTCTGCCTTTAGGTAAACACACAGGTGGGCGAGCGCTAACCAAACATCTGCCGGCACGTTTCACAAAATGAACACATTTTCCAGCCTCTGCTCGCCCACCACGCAGGGAGAGAGAGAGAGAGAGAGAGAGAGAGAGAGAGAGAGAGAGAGAGAGAGAGAGAGAGAGAGGACATAAACGAAAATAAATGAAAACGAGCAAATATCGGAAAAAAGATTATCTGGAAGTTGGGTCCACTTTTTTTTGACTTCTACTGAGAGTGAAAAGAGAATCAAAGGAGAGTTTAAAAAAAAAGAAAAGAATAAGTGAGACTCACATTCTGCTGCTGAGGGCATCGATGGGGCGTCCAAAGTGCGGCACAGGAGAGCAGAGCAGGAACAGAGCGAAGCACCACTGCTGCAGGACTCTCCTGGAGCAGAACATCTTCCTGTAAAGAAGAAGAACAACACAGTCATGAGCTCCACTTCATCTCTAACATCTGAGAGAGGCTATCTGATGTTCAATCTGCAGACGAGTCTCTGCAGAAAAAAAACAAGTCCTGCATGTTTCCCCCGCAAATTAAACCACAACAAAGATTAAAATTAAACTAAACAAAAGCAGGAGAAGAAGAAGAAGAAGAAGAAGGAGAAGAAGAAGAAGTTGGAGAGAAACTCACTCTCCCACAGCAGCGTCTGTTCCGAAGATAAAAACTTTAATTCACTTTAAGTCCAGTCTCAAACTTTCCAGTCTGACTTCAAACCACAAATAATAAACGTCTCAGGAGACAAAATCCAGGTGATGACACCTTCAGGAAGAGGGAGAAAAAAATCCCCACGAGCCAAAACACATCCAAGAGCCCGTTCTTTTCCAAAGTCGTTATTTATGCTCCTCCTTAAAGAGTAGAAGAAGAAGAAGAAGAAGTCCCGCTGCGGCTCCAGCAGACGTCCAGGTGTCCCGCAGTGAGAGGTGAGTGATGTCAGGGCAGCTGCTGCAGGTCGGTCTGATGGGAGCGAGTGCTGCATGCTGCCTGAGCGTCTGAGCAGGTCAGAGGAGAGCAGAAGGGGGAGGACTTATGAAACAAAGAGGAGGGCCTCCTCGTTCTGTCTCTGCCCACTGGAGGAGCAGGAGTCAGATAAAGAAAGAAGAAGAAGAAGAGGAGCGGCAGGAAGGTGGCACTCGAGCAGCACAGAGAGAGAGACGACCTGAGAGCTGTGCAGGAGCTACGAGGGTCAACTAGTGCCCAAAAAATCATCCAAAGTTTGAAGAAAACGAGGGAGAGAAAATTCAAATACTCTTATAGAAGATGAGACAAATAAAGATGACAACTCAAACAACAACAAAAACATCATTGTTGGATTTGTAGGTTTAAATAAACAACAAAGACAAAAGCAAAATCGCAGCACTTCATATTTATGAGGGGCGATTAGTGCCAAAGAATAACGCTTGTCCACTGATCTGTCCATTTTTAGATTTCACTGTCCTGCTTGAAACCGTTGTTGGAATCTACGGGGGTCAAATAGTGCCAAAAAAGTTTGTAAAAAAGGATCTGTAAACTTATTTGATGCTGTGTGTCTTTTATGTCAATGTCCCTGCTGAGAAAATGTATTTATGAGTTGAAGAAGAGCCTCATGTAGCTAAGTCAGCAGCAAAAGAAAACGAGCTAAATAAATAAACGTGCATGTAAGAAGAAATGGTGTCACTCAATGACGGACGGAAGTGCCCAAAACTGTGCAATCTGTTAAAACGTTCCGTCCACAAATGCTCAGTTCTCAAAAACATCATCAAAATGAAAACCCCAAAACGCACTCTTCGCCTCAGCAGAAGTATACGTTCATGCCGGGTTTTTTCCACCCAGGTGACTTTCAGAGCGCTCAGAGACTGGGAGGTATTTCCTGTCTTGTTGTGTGATGCACAGTGACAGCAGGTCAGAGTGCGAGTCACCGATCCGTCTCGGGGCCATCGCTGCCCTTTAGACGCTGAACAGTCCGGTGGTCAGTCTCAGGTGTAACACAAAACCTCCAGGCACAAAAACATGATGACTGAACTCTGAACCGTCAGTAACGTCATGACGAGCCGAGACAAGCAGCATGGGATTTTTTTTATATGTGTAGATCTAGCAGACAGAGCCTCGCACACACATCCCTGAGATCTCAGGCGACCCTCATAGGGGGGTCCGAGTCCCCAGGTCCACTGTGTTAGAGGACAGACAAGACATTCAACAATCGTACACAAGGATTAGAAATGCAGACTAATTAGCTGTGATGACCTCAAGTTGATAACATCCATCTGCTTTCTGTAGCTAATATCGTTTAAAAATCCAGTTTCCCCTCTGACGCCTGAAGCATTTAACGTGATGATCATCTGAGAACATGCAGGATTAATTAATTCACATTACTGTTAAAACATTTCTACCATCAGATGATGTGAAGTGATGCACGCTAACAAGCTCTGCGAGCTCTCTGATTCTAATTAACTGAAATCATCTTCTGCTTTCTAACACGTTACTCCACGTTGAGCAGCAGATTGTTAAACTGGATCACAGGATCTGATCTAATCTGATCCAGTTAAATGTGACTCGGGGGGGGGGGGGGTGGGGCGTTTCTCTGCGTTCTTGTGGATCAAACGGCTTCACACTTAAAAAGCCTCAGACCACCAACACTGTCACAGCACTCTGCTCTTATGTAACCTCTCACACTGGGGCTGCATTTATTAGCATCACGCTTTTAAAAAAGAACAAAATAAAGCCGAGTTTAAATATCTGAAACAAAGCGGGAAAGATAATACCCCCCCCCCCCCCCATCCAAATTCAGTCAGCAAGCTACACATGATTACCAACACATGACAGTTCGCGTTTATATAAAACATCCACCAGGGGCAGCACTAAGCAGCACTCGGTAAGAGTTAAAGGCTGATGCGACCTCTCTGGGAGGTTAAAGAGTGCCTCTAGAACTTTATTTTGCTCCCCAAATGGTCCGTACAAGGGGAGTATCACTTTCTGAAAGAAAGTTTTATCACAATACCAGATTTTCAACTTTGATTTGATTAGAGTAAATGCAGACATGCACACACACGGTGCTACGCTCCCCCGCAGATTGTTGATCCCCTCGCTCATCTGTAACACCTGTTACTACAGTATGACGGTACAGAGGGGGATCACTATTGGAAGTCTACGCCATTCTTTCCTTTTGTTTCCAGTTTGCCTTTTAATTGCAGGTGAATCTGTGAAATTTGTGAAAAACTGCTGACACCAAATTAAGCAGCGCAGCAAAGCGGAGAAAGACGAATGACTTCCGTAAAATTTGTGTTCAAATTCAACTTTTTCAACCTCTACTGCAGACGTATCTGTTGATCATCCAAAGGTTGTAGAACCACATGAAACCTGCATGATTTTGGTTAAATGTGATTTCTGATTTGGCAACTCCTGCTGGTCATTTCACAACAAACACCTGAGCACGCCACGATGCACGTTTGTACATGAACACTAGATAAAGATGAAGGTAGGAGGGCAGGAAAGTCCCGTCTGTTGAGCTGTTGTCATCAGGGCGTTATTAAATAATACACATTGGTTTTATGTGAAGCACATGAGTTCCCTGAGTTAACCCCCCCACACGGAGGCTTAAGAGCAAACATCAGTAAGTCAGACAAACACTGCGGGCAGCAGCGCCATTCCCCCTCGCCGCTCTGACTGACACGTGTTGAAATATCAGAAATGTGTTCCAGCTGTCGCCTCCACAATTAAGAACAGATCTAACACACACTCACGGGCTCTTATCTCCGAGTCTATCTGTGTGGAAATCATTTGTGGGTTAAATGTTTAAATGGGCATGAAGCATCGGAGATTTACGAGATGAACATGTTGTTTTTTAAAAACTCCGGCTAAATGTGAATCCTGAGTTTGAAGCATGTTTAAGATAAAGAGGGAAAACACTCAAGTTTGTTTAGTTTTGAGCTGCTGTTTAAAGGCTTTATATGTGATGTTTTGATCCAGCAGATGTCGCCCTTGAGCTCCAGCATGAAACCAAAACAACTTGCGCTGCATTGTTGTGTTAGCATGCTAATGCTAGTGATCTTTATTATGCTGGTATCTTCACACTGCATGTAAATTTACCTGAAATGAGCGTGATCTAGAAACACAGTTAAGCAGTGAGTACAGTATGTTATTCTTCTTTTCTCTAGTCCCTCAATTAAACAACTTTTATACACGAGGGGAGGAGTCAGCCGGCCGTCCTGGCGACGTAAACAAAGTGAAGATAGGACTCTGAAAACTCTGAAAACATCACAGACAGTGGGACTCGGGTGTTACACCCATTGTAGACAGTCATGACTCACAGAGTTATTTTCAGAGGATAAACTTGATTTATATATTTAAGTGTGAAGAATCACATAGAAAGACTTTCAGATAAAGAGGGAAAACACTCAAGATGGTTGCTAATTTCTGCACCCAGGAGACGAAAACGAACAGATAAAGTACACCTGCTCGTTTTGTCTTTTTTCTGTCCTGTTGTGCCTTGCCTTTATTTTCTGAAACCGAGCTACCGAATACTCAGTTCCCCTGTTGGGCTGAGCTAACGCCCCCTGAGCGGCTCTGGGGTCGTCCTACACTCCACTGGCTCTCGCAATGAAAGAAAATCTGGACCCGAGTTTGTTTTGGGACAACTTTGATCAGAGTACAAGCTAACCTGACGTCTCTGAGCGTGGACACACTGAGCACAGAGAGCAGCCCACCGTGCACTTCCACAATGTTTAGCTAACATAACGACAGGTCTCTGGGGGTTTCAGCTCCATAGACCCTTTAAGAGGAATGACAACTTCTCTCCTGGGGGGGATGGGGGGGTTCTATACGTGAAGTGCGGATATAGATATTCATCAGGACTTCCCTTCAGTTTGCTCTCTGACTCAACAGTAAGTCAACTGGCTGAGTTTAGTCAAACTGTGTTTTCAATTTACTGAATTATCTGAAACATTCGGCCCTGGCGTCTGTGGGCTTTTGATGCGTCCTTGATTTTTTTTTTAACCCAGAAATAGCAGCTCCACTGTAAAGGTCACTGTATGAACATGAAGCACACACAATGAACACATTATTTGTAAACCTGCTGGCTGCCAACATGTGCTGATGCAACAAACCTTCCTGCTAGCTCCTTTCATTCATTAGGGATCATAAACACAATCCATTGTTTCTTTCCAACCCATCATCAGCGCTTTGAACAAAAAAAAATCTACATGTCGATGGTGAATGATCGGTGCCAGGGAGAACTTTTCCTCAGTTTGTCTGAAAATTAGTCGAGTTCCTTCCAGTTTATGAGCTCCTCTGGTTGGAGTCGGTTCAGGAACACAAAGTCCAGGCTGATTTTTAAACACTGGAACAAAAGGAGGAGTGTCGGGGACCAGCGGGGGGAACACTACCTGTCGTCGCCCCTCCCACCTCCTCAGACGCGTCCACTTCG